GAACGAGTTGATTTGGCAGTTTTTAGACAGATTCAATACAAGAGCGTGAACCCAAAATTAAGGAATTAACCTATGTTTTATATAATATAACTTTGATACATTTGTACATACATGCACATCCATATGTATAAGAGCACATAGAAGTAAACATATTTTAATATTTGCCTTGACAAGTTCTTCAACATGATGTTCTGCGGGCAATCACTGTTGTGATTTGACAGTTTTTATTCTCAATGGCAACGTTCAAATAACTTCCAAGCGTACATGCACAGAACACAATATGTAGTGACGTCACTTGCCATACATATTACTTCTCTTAACTGCCAGTCACATTGTATTGTCCTGCTGACTATATGTTCCACTCCGTAATACTTCTCTCTTTCTCTCTTCAGGGTCGCCCTTCTGGGGATCAGTGAGAAATAACGTGGTGGAGCCAGACGGTGGTACAGCCGAGAACTGTATCCTGCTGGACGCTCAGGGTTACCACTACTTCCGTGACGCCTCCTGTAGTCTGCTGATGACCCCACTGTGTATGACTACCCTGTAGTCTGCTGGTGAACCCACTGTGTATGGCTCCCCAGTAGTCTGCTGGTGACCCCACTGTGTACAGCTTCCCAGTAGTCTGCTGGTGACCCCATTGTGTGCAGCGCCCCCCTCTAGTCTGCTGGTGACCCCAATGTGTAGGACTATCCTATAGTCTGCTGATGACCCCACTGTGTATGGCTCCCCAGTAGTCTGCTGGTGACCCCACTGTGTATGGCTCCCCAGTACAGTCTGCTGGTGACCCCACTGTGTATAGCTCCCCATTACAGTCTGCTGGTCACCCCCACTGTGTATGGCTTCCCTGTACAGTCTGCTGGTGACCACACTGTGTTTGGCTTCCCTGTACAGTCTGCTGGTTACCCCACTGTGAATGACTACCCTGTAGTCTGCTCGTGACCCAATTATGTATTGCTTCACTGTAGTCTGCTGGTGACCCAACTATGCATTGCTTCACTGTAGTCTGCTGGTGACCCCACTGTATGTTAGTGACCTGTAGTCTGCTGGTGACCCGGCTCTGAATGGTTCCTCAGTAGCCAGAGAGTTATCAGCTTTGAAGTACAGTTATAGCCTCGTTAAGTCATATATGAATTTTGATGCTAATTTCCTTGATTTTGAGGCTTCAAATTTATCACCTGCAAGATTTATATTAAAAGCGTTTCCATGTACACTCCAGTTTAATTTCAACCATTACCGTTGAATTTTACTAACATAGCTAAGATTTTTAATTTACTTTTACACAACATTCTATGGAGTGTGTAGAGAAAAGGCATGTATGTGACAAAGCTTGTCGGAGGAGCTGGAGTTCATGTTCTCCTACGAGTGTGTATATTCTGACACAGGTAAAGAGAAGGGAGAACCATGACCGTCATTCTACAGTCCGCTCGTAGCTCGCACCTAGATGGTTCACACACGTAGCTTGTAACAAGGCCTGTAAGAGGTACTGTATTCTGCCTTTCACAAGATCTTGGAGGCAGAGTGCAAGACCCCGGACATTGTGTATATATTGTAAGATATTATGAGGTAGAGAGCCAGTATGCCCCGGAGACAGTATTATTAGCATGATCTCACGAGATAACTATTCTACAGTTGCGAGACGGAGCGAATGCAAGAGAGATCATCAGTCTGCGGGGGTTGTTGTGCAGTAAGAAACTGCACTACACTTGGCACAGTTTACTGGAATCCTCCTTGGTGTTGGTACAAAGAGGATAGTATAATACTTCCCAGTATTCTGATGGTGACCCTACTGTTTGTGGTTACCCAGTAACCTGCTGGTGACCCCACTGTGTATGACTCCCTAGTACTGTCCTGTTGACCCCACTGTGTGCGGCTCCGCAGTACTGTGTTAGTGACCCCATGTTTGTTGCCTCACCAAACGCGCCCAACGATTCTAGCCTATTGTAACCCAAGCATCCAAACACGACCTACTCAGGGTAACCAATCTGAACACCATCATCGTCCTCGCTCGCCAGAAAAACAGCTCAGACACCCGTAACACAGGGATACCCCCTTCCCCCCCCCCCGGTTCTTTAAAGCACACTTTTATTTTATATTTTATTTAAAGAAAACGTTCTTGAAATATTAATTGACTGTGTTACAATTTTCGTTGTCAATCAGTGATCCACATTTCTTAGAAAATAAGAATAGCCGTGATTTTCTACACAGGCCGAAGGGAAGGGAACGGAAAAAAGAGAATAGGACGGTTAAGGGAAGGCGTACGAAGGGGATAGAGCGAGGAATAAAGAAAGAAATTGTTGGGATCGGAGGAAAAAAAGATTGGAAATGGAGAAGGGATGAAAAGGGATTGAGTGAAAGGAGGAAAATCAGGGAATGTAAAAGAAACAAGAGAAGGAATGAAAGTAAAGAAAGGGAGAGTGAGGGTGTATGGACAAGTGAAGTCGAGAAGCATAGGCAATGTAAAATGAAAAGGGAGGGTAATGAATAAGGGAAGGGGAAAAAGGGATGAAAGGAATTAAAGCTAGGGTTGGGTGGTTGATAGGAATGATAACGCTTTACATTTTATCACATTTCCAAGAAAGTTAAATTAGAGCAGGTCAGAGTGCCTGTGTTTGGTGCGTGGCGGGCGGAGGCTTCCCACAGCTCCTGGGAGCCTCAGTCTCCACAAGATATCATAGATAGTGTGGACTCTAGACCCCAACACCCCGTTCCCTGACACTCCGTAAAATATCCAACTTTTTAGCGTAACCAGAAATGTACGAGGAAGCCTCAACTAACCTATTGAGTCCGATGCATAGAAAACGTGACCAATTGTGAGTTGTTACTTCTATTGACACAATGCGTTTGTAACGTTGGTTACGACAACGTGAGAAACGCCTGCTGTCAGTTGAGGGGACGAGGAGGAAGAGTTTTTTGTGTACAGGACGCCGCTTACTGCGTACAATCAGATAGTTTATATCTGGGAACTGGTCGGTCATTTACATATTTATCTTAACAATTAATGACTGAATCAAAAATACAATTTTCAGATAAACAACAATATATGTGGAATAAAAAACACATCCCCTTCTCACAACGCACGTATGCACGCGACGCCATCCTTGCCCCCCTCCACACACACACAGATTGCATATTTCTGGACTGCCAAAAAGCTTTTGATACAGTACCACACAGAAGGCTATTATACAAACTTGAGAGGCAGGCGGGAGTAGAATGAGACGCACTGGAAATGTGCTTCAGGAAACAGGTTCGGTGTGATATCAATCCCAGGATGCGTTGCTCTCTCGGGTTTCTAAACGATTTTATTTCCCATTTTGCACTTATGTCAGGCCTCCTGCTCCCTTCCCCTAGTTTCATTACTTTTGCACTTAATTGAGCTAAACTCAAGTAATCATTTGTTGGTCCATTCATTCAGTTTGTTGAGGTCATCTTGTAGCCTCTTGTTATCTTCCTCCGTCTTAATCCAGCTTAGAATTTTTATGCATCATGATCAAGCATTGATAGGAAAGAGCACATTCCTTAAGGATACCTGTGAATTACTCTGGTCATTTATTTGTAGTAGTAAGCTGCTCACAGAAGCAGCCGGTCTTCAAGATCTCCAATGAATTAAATAAATGAATTTATGATGAATTTATAAACCCTGAAAATGAATTTCATCTGAAATAATCCAATTCGTAAAATGCCACCCAAAGGCATATCCCCAATTTTAAATTAAAGACAATAACCCAAAACTATTGAAAAACACTATGAGCTTCGATGGTGTGTCAGCTACCTTTAGTTTTTATAATAATGAAATGCAGATACACAAACATGTAGGTAACCGAGCACAAAGTGTTGCGTGTGTGTGTGCTTTGGTTAACACTGGGTGTCAACCGATAAAGTTATTCACAGTCTGAGAATAACCTGTGTCTTACCTGTTATTGAACATGAAGAGACACACGTGCAAAGAGAACAAATGGTAGAGATGGTAGGTATTATTGACGATGAAGAACACAGTAATAGGAGAGTAGCAAGTTAGGTGGGAAACAAAGTCTAGGGGAATATTTCGAATCATCTTCATCTTCATATCACAATGAAAATCAGCAAAAGTAAGATTCAATTTCTTTCTTTATTATGCACCCCATATCCATCACGTGGGCGGTGGTGTAAAGAATTACAGAGGCACATAATCGGTTCAGGAACTGAACCCTCTAGTTCGTTTAGCTAAGTAAATAACAATTTTTGACGTTCGTTACAAAATTATTAATGTTACATATACATGTACACATACTCATGCATACATGTACATATACTTACGTATACATATATACATACACATACAGTGTCGCCATTATTTGGCAAGAGTTTAATTCTTTTAATCAATCTTAACATATTTTTGAGCACTCTTTATATGCGGTTATTTTAAAAATGCTTTCATATGAGCTATAATTATAAGTTTTTCATAAGCCCTTGTAGGTTCAATGCAGATATTGCTCACTGCATCAGCTTGCTTTCTTGGAGTAGATTTAGGGGGCAACCCGTTCTCGCAAATTCGTAAAGTCAATATTGACTTATTAACTACGTGCATAGGTGATATACTAAACATAATAGATACCCTTAAAAAGATTCATAGAAAACACCAACCTTACCTAACCTTGTTAGTATCTTAAGATAAGCATCTTATTGCTTCGTAATTACAATTATTACTTAACCTATACCTATTATAGGTTAGGTAATTATTGTAATTACGAAGCAATAAGATGCTTATCTTAACATACTAAGTGGGTTAGGTAAGGTCGGTGTTTTCTATGAATCTTTTTAAGGGTATCTATTATGTTAAGTATGTCACCTATGCACATATTTAATAAGTCAATATTGACTTATTAAATTTGCGAGAACGGGTTGTAGGGGGAGACTGATAAGCTTTTGGGTGGATGATATCTTTCTGGGTCGGTGGATGACTAGCCTGCTCCTCGTGGTTAAGGTGGGACGTTATCACCTGGGTAGGGATGCAAGCTGTGTATATTAATTAAACGGAACCATTGGAGCTGCATACGCTTGCTGACTACCACCTCCAACTCATTAATCCTGTGACTAGCACTACAAACTGCACAGCGACAGTTTATCTGGTGATAAATCAACGTTTTTGTGACTGTTTAAAGTAAGTCTGCATTTAAAATATGTTTAATTAACTGTGAGTTCTTATCATTAATAATACACATGAATCAGTTCATAATTCTATACGTTAGTCAGAACACGTTGATGAAAGTAATAAAACGTGATGTGAACCTTCACACTGAAATACGATATTACTCCAGTAAAGTATTAAAGACATCATACTTGACGAGGGGTCGGGCTGCATAGGACACGCATTGGCACGAACCAGTAACGAAGTCGAGGGAGGTAAGAATCTTACGTACGAACGAACGAGAGAGAAAGAGAGAGAGAGAGAGTGTGTGTGTGTGTGTACTCACCTATTTGTTCTTGCGGGGGTTGAGCTCTGGCTCTTTGGTCCGGCCTCTCAACTGTCAATCAACTGGTGTACAGGTTCCTGAGCCTATTGGGCTCTATCATATTTACACTTGAAACTGTGTATGGAGTCAGCCTCCACCACATCACTGCCTAATGCATTCCATTTGACAACCACTATGACACTAAAAAATATTCTTTGTAATATCTCTGTGGCTCATTTGGGCACTCAATTTTCACCTGTGTCCCCTAGTGCGTGTGCCTCTTGTGTTAAATAGCCTGTCTTTATCTACCCTGTCAATTCCTCTGAGAATCTTGTACATGGTGATCATGTCCCCCGTAACTCTTCTGTCTTCCAGCGACGTAAGGTTTAATTCCCGTAGTCTCTACTCTAGCTCATACCTCTTAGCACAGGTACTAGTCTGTTGGCAAACCTTTGAACCTTTTCCAGTTTAGTCTTATGCTTGACTAGATATGGTCTCCATGCTGGGGAGGCATACTCCAGGATTGGTCTGACATAGGTGGTATACAAAGTTTTGAATGATTCCTTACACAAGTTTCTAAATGCTGTTGGCTAACCTGGTATATGCTGCTGATGTCATCCTTTTGATATGGGTTTCAGGGGACAGGTCTGGTGTGATATCAACCCCCCCCCCCAAGTCTTTCTCTCTCTCTCTGACTCTTGAAGAATTTCATCTCCCAAATGATACCTTGTAAATGGCCTCCTGCTCCCTACACCTATCTTCATTACATTACATTTGCTTAGGTAACAAGCAAATGTAGTGTAATGGTTCTAACTCTAACAACCATTTGTTCGACCATTCCTTCAGTTTGTCTAGGTTTTCTTGAAGCTAAAAGCAGTCTTCTTGTCTTAATCCTTCTCATAATTTTGACGTCGTCAGCAAACATTGAGAGGAATGAGTCTATACCCTCCGGGAGATCGTTTACGTATATCAGAAACAGGATAGGACCGAGTACAGAGCCCTGTGGGATTCCACTGGTGACTTCACGCCAATCTAAGGTTTCACCCCTCACTGTATCTCTCTGCTTTCTTTTGCTTAAGTATTCCCTTATCCACTGGAGCACTTTACCAGTTACTCCTGCCTGTCTCTCCAGCTTATGTATCTGCCTCTTATGGGGGACTGTGTTAAACGCTTTCCGACAGCCCCAAAAAATGCAGTCCGCCCATCCTTCTCTTTCTTGCTTAATCTTTGTCACCTGATCGTAGAATTCTATTAAGCCAATAAGGCAAGATTTACCCTCCTTGAACGTTTTGTCACGAAGTTCCTTCTCTCCAGATGTGTTAGTAGATTTTTTCTCACGATCTTCTCCATCACCCTGCATGGTATACAAGGACACTGGCCTGTAGTTCAGTGCCTCTTGTCTGTAACTCTTTTTGTATATTGGGACCACATTAGCCGTCTTCCATATTTCTGGTAGGTCTCCCATCTCTAGTGACCTACTATTTACTATGGAGGTTATCTTGAGATCTTGAGGTTATTTTGATATGATTTCGGGGCTTTAGTGTCCCTGCGGCCCGGTCCTCGACCAGGCCTCCACCCCCAAAAAGCAGCCCGTGACAGCTGACTAACTCTCATGTACCTATTTACTGCTAGGTAACAGGATCATCAGGGTGAAAGAAACACTGCCCATTGTTTTCCCCGGCACCCGGGATCGAACCCGGGACCATAGAATCACGCGTTCAGTGTTCTGTCCGCTCAGCCACCGGCTGAGAGTGGCAAGCAGAGTGCCTCTGCACACTCTTTCAATACCCATGGTGAGATCCCGTCTAAACCAACAGCCTTTCTCACATCCAGATCCAAGAGGTGTCTCTTGACCTCATCTCTCGTAATTTCGAACCCTTCCAAAGCCACCTGGTTTACTGCCTTCCTCTCCTATTGAAGTGACTTCACCTTGTTCTATTGTGAAGACCTCCTGGAACCTTTTGTTGAGTTCTTCACACACCTCTTTGTCATTCTCTGTATACCTGTCCTCCCCTGTTCAAAGTTTCATTACATGTTCTTTCACTGTTGTTTTCCTCCTGATGTGACTGTGGAGTAGCTTTGGTTCGGTCTTGGCTTTACTTGTTATATCATTTTCATAAGTTTTCTCTCCTTTTCTTCTCACTCTAACATACTCATTCCTGTTTCTCTGGTATCTTTCTCTGCTTTCTGGTGTTGTTATTTCGGAAGTTCCTCCACGCCCTTTTGTTCAGTTCCTTTGCTTCAATACATGCCCTATTAAGCCATGAATTCTTCTTATGCTTCTCGGATTTTTCCTTTTCGGGCCGGGATAAACTTGTTTACTGCCTTCTGATACTTTTGGGTGACATTGTCCATCATATCTTGTACAGACTTAGCTCTGAGGTCTGTGTCCCATGGTATATTCCTTAGGAAACTTCTCATCCCCTCATAGTTCTCCTTTCGGTATGCCAGCCTTTTGTTTCCTAGTTCTTTTTGGGGTGAGATAAATCCTAGCTCTACCAAGTACTCAAAGATCAATACACTGTTATCACTCATTTCCAAGGATGCTTCCAACTTAACTTCTCTTATATCACATTCATTTTGGGTAAATGTCAGATCAAGCATGGCTGGTTCATCTTCTCCTCTCATTCTTGTCGGCCCCTTGATATGTTGGCTTAGAAAGTTTCTTGTTGCCGCGTCCAGCAGCTTAGCTCTCCATGTATCTGGTCCTCCATGTGGGTCTCTGTTCTCCCAATCTATCTTCCCGTGGTTGAAGTTCCCCCCCATGATTAGTAGCCCAGATTCATTCCTGCTAGTGAGAGAAGCTGCTCTCTCTTTTATGTTAAAGGTGGCCATGTTGCTTCTATCATATTCCTGTCTGGGTCTTCTGCCATTTGGTGGCGGGTTATATATGACTGCGATTATAATTTTGTGTCCTCCAGTTGCTATGGTACTTGTTATGTAGTCACTGAAACCTTCACAGCCCTGAATAACCATACCCCTCAAAATCCCAGCTTTTTCTTATAGCAGAGCTACACCACCACCTCCTCGTCCTTCTCTCTCTTTCCTCACAACACAGTAGTCCTGTGGAAACACTGCATTTATTATGATTTTCATTAGCTTTGTTTCTGTGAGTGCTATTATGTCTGAGTTTTTTCAAGTACCCATTCTCCAAAATCATTTGTTTTATTTGTAATTCCATCTATGTTGGTGAACATTGCCTTGAGATTCACTTTCTTCGGTCCCTACTCATGTTCCCTTCTTGGTGAGCGTTCTGCTGATGGGGGAAGCTGTTCCATGGGTGTGAGGATTTGTAGGATGGATAACGGGGTCTCAGAGGATACTGGAGTGATGGGTGGGGGGTCAAGTGAAAGGGGGGCAGGGAGGGTATGGGATGAAGGGGAAGAGAGGGCAGTGGGGGAAAGGGGAGAGGGGGGACATGGCAGGAGTAGGGGAGAGGCAGCAGGGTGGGAGTAGGGTGAGGGGGGGAGGGAGAGTTAGCTTAACATATTTGAGTGGGTGCAGGTAGGGTGAGTCGTAGGGGGGGGGGGGTTCTATGCTGAGGAGGGTGGTGTGGTTGCCCTCCCCTCTGGTGTTACTGGGTAGCTGGTTGTGAGTTCCTCCTTCACCTCTGGGGATGATGTGTTGGGAGCTGTGAGTTCCTGGTTCTCCCCTCTCGCCCTGCTCCTCTTCCTTGCTTCTGCCGCCATGGCTCTCTCCTCCCTCGTCATGTCCCTCTGGAGGAATACTTTTTAGAATTCTTCCACATATTGCAGGTGGCTCTTCCTTGTTAAAATCTTCTCCTTTGTGGTTTTGTTTTGCAAACACTATTTTTAGCATGCAATCTCTGTACTTGTTGTACCAGCCTACCCTGAAAACCTTCTCAATGCTATGTTCAGCCCCTTCCATCTCTAGCCTCTTTAGTATTTGTTTCGTTGCTGCTCTGTCCTTATCCTTCCATTCTGTCCTGTTGGAGCCTCCTGCTCTTTAAGACTCAAAGCTACCACTGATCTTTTTCTTTCCAGTAGCTGACTAGTGGCCCTTGCTGCTTCCTGTAAGGTGGCTGCTTTCATTGCTACCTCCCTCACTGTGGACATTGCTTCCTTGTTCTTTTATAACATTTCTGTGGGAACCGACCTGTGAGATTTATATTTATTTAATTTATATGAATTTATATTTACGTTAATTTATATACTTCGATAGCAATTTGTATGATGTTAAGTGGACTGTATTTCTGCAATAATCTCACAAATCGATCCTCTACACATTAGGGGGGTTTATATTAAATTTATATATATGCAGCCAATCAAACTACAGTATTAGACTACATACATTGAAGAGGTTCCTTATCTTATTGTACAGCAGGCCTTAGTCCACCAGGTATAACCAGGATGTAGACACCAAATTATCCTCTTTGAGGTAGCTTCCATCACCCAGTAACTGGCACACAAAGCATGCTTCCTCGTCTTGACCTGTCAAAAGGGCGCTAGCTGTAAAGCCAGAATCCTAATATATGACAGCTATATCAGAGAAACACTGTACAAGGAACCATGAAGACCTGGCTTAATTACCTTCAGTATGAGGCGATCTCATGCTCTAACTAGAACACCCTATCTAATGACATTAATGGCCACAAATGATAGATAAATGGGTTTCGGCAGAACACTTAACTTGCATTTGTTGACAGCGTGTTGTTGATGGTACACCTTTGGTTTCCATAACACTTCGTCCAAGTAAAATTAACAGGAGCCGAAATGCTCCCATGCCTCTGGTCTCAGTATAATAACAATGGCTGACCACTCCCTCCTCACTGACGCCTGGCTTGCTTTGTCCAGATGACAGTAAGTGATAGAAGGGTCACATTTACTCTATTTTAACTCTGATAATTAAGTTAATTTATATGAGATGTTTTTATGATGGTAAAGTCCAAAGACTAATGTATTTAAGAATAATTCCCACCATAATAGGTGGTGAATTTATAATAGTATGTGGTAACGATATCCCGTTTTCTATAAACGGAAATTCCACTACAATTTACATTTTCTATGGGTAACTTGTTCATACAATACAGAAATTATTATCTGTCTGTATGTTATATTAAATGGTGTCAGATTTTCCGACAATTTCTGCAAATGTTGCATGTACTATGGCAGTCCCTCCCAATGTACCATTTTCATCTTCTCTTTGAAGGATTATTTGAGCCTCAGTCTCAGTATTGTGGGTTTTAATCTCCTTTGCTGCTGTCTGCTCGCTTTGCAGGTTGCTTAGTGCATTATTCATTTCCTGCATCTCCCTTCTGATATCCTCCAAAACCTGGGCAAACACTTCTTTCATTTGGTCACACTGATTTTTCCCCTGTTCCCTTGGTACTCCTCGCTGCCATGTTTGTCCTATTTCCTACTATGTCTTGATAGGGTTTGCCAGGAGGGGGCAAAGAGAGAGAGAGGGAGAGAGAGAGAGAGAGAGAGAGAGAGAGAGAGAGAGAGAGAGAGAGAGAGAGAGAGAGAGAGAGAGAGAGAGAGAGAGAGAGAGAGAGAAATACAGTGTGAGGGGAGAGGGAGAGGAGGAGGGTGGCTGAAAGTAGTATGGTCAAACCCCTTATCTAGGTGCCAAATCCTGTTTGTGATACATGTAATTAATTATCTAAGTGTAATTACCTAATTGTAGTTACAGGATGAGAGCAACGCTCGTGGTGTCCCGTCTTCCCAGCGCTCTTTGTCATATAATGCTTTGAAACTACTGACGGTCTTGGCCTCCACCACCTTCTCACCTAACTTGTTCTAACCGTCTACCACTCTGTTTGCGAAAGTGAATTTTCTTATATTTCTTCGGCATCTGTGTTTAGCTAGTTTATATCTATGACCTCTTGTTCTTAAAGTTCCAGGTCTCAGGAAATCTTCCTTATCGATTTTATCAATTCCTGTTACTATTTTGTATGTAGTGATCATATCACTTCTTTTTCTTCTGTCTTCTAGTTTTGGCATATTTAATGCTTCTAACCTCTCCTCGTAGCTCTTGCCCTTCAGTTCTGGGAGCCACTTAGTAGCATGTCTTTGCACCTTTTCCAGTTTGTTGATGTGCTTATGGGCACCACACAACCGCTGCATATTCTAGCTTTGGCCTAACAAAAGTCGTGAACAATTTCTTTAGTATATCGCTATCCATGTATTTAAAAGCAATTCTGAAGTTAGAAAGCGTGGCATAGGCTCCTCGCACAATATTCTTTATGTGGTCCTCAGGTGATAGTTTTCTATCTAGAACCACCCCTAGATCTCTTTCTTTATCAGAATTCTTTAAAGATTTCTCACATAATATATAGGTTGTGTGAGGTCTATGTTCTCCTATTCCACATTCCATAACATGGCATTTATTAACATTAAATTCGATTTGCCAAGTGGTGCTCCACATACTTATTTTGTCCAGGTCATCTTCAAGGGCATGACAGTCATCTAAGTTTATGTGTGTGTGTGTGGGGGGGGGGGAGAGGAGAGAGGAGAGAGGGTAGGGGGGAGGAGGGTGTCTTTCATCAGGTCAAGAACTAGAAGTATCGACGTCCATAACCAGCTCCCAGGTGTGGACATTAGCAGTAAAGAACACAAGTACTGACAACGACGTACCGAAACACCACGATGTGAATATGAAGGTTTGTCAACAATTATACTCTTCTCTCACCATAATGTTTCTCTACATTGTGGTTAGTCCTACATCATCAGCTATCATACGGCATCACTGATAATATATATCACACTTGGTCTGTGAAAAAACAAAATTCCTGAATTTGTTCCCGTTTAATTGCTCAGTAGTTTTAAATTTTTCTTGAGACTCGTTCACTGGGTTTTGAGAAATATTCTGACTGCAGATAAGCAGTCATATTTCTTATAAGATCTTATGTTCTTGTCCTAAGGTTGTTCTGTGGCCCAACTGCTGCTCTGAACGTCTCGTTGTGTGGACCAACTGGGACCGCCGTCCCTAAGATGTGGCGACTCGCTGCCCTCACCCTCATGTGCACACACCTGCTGGGTAAGTACACACCTCACAGGTAATCACTCACCAATTGGGTACGTACACACCTGCTGAGAACGTATGTATTAATTGTGGGAAATATTTGTTACCATTACTTTTAATTGTAAAAAATTTCTATGAACCGTAATGAAATCTACTTTCTGTTCAGGTTTAATTGACAAATTAAGTCGTAGTTAATAAATGCGTACTTAAACAGAGCCACGCCATCTATGGGCTGGCGGAAGCCACCTGACTACTACGTCACCCATCACAACACTCAGTAAACTAAATTGGTCTTCTATTATTTCTGATAAATTATATAACTATAAGACACTCAGTAATTCTTAAAAAAATTGACTGAATTAACATCGTTAATTCGAATTTTTAGACCGATACAAGCTTTAGACCGATACAAGTAAATAATATACGTGAGTTTTCTCCAGGACCGGAAGTGGAGGCAGCTTTGAGGTCATTACATGCCAAAACAGAGATCAAGACCGCTTCAAGTAGCGACATCGTCATTACGCAGTTTAAATATTCTTCTGCTGCTATTTAAAACTTCGCGACTTCTAAATTAAGTCGTGTCAACCTCATACTTCAACCAGATTTGATTGATTGTTGCCGCCGGAGGAGGCTAGTTTATTGTGCACCCCATACTCATCCTGTGAGTGGTAGCGCAAAAATGGGTTACTGAGAGCACAAAAGGTCTTTGTCCGACCTCAACAGAGATTATTACATTAAGAATTACATCTATCCTTCACACCTTATAATTATAATGTCAGCTAGTTACAGAGAATGTTCTATATCAAGAGCTATATATTTACAGTAAGTCATTATACATTAATGGTTGGTCTTATCGCTAATACATAATTGTTTGAGCAATGGAGAAATTTCCGAGTCATAGGGGAGCTGCTGTTTGTTAGTACTAGTCTTCACAATACACTACTTGTTTCTTAATCTCATATGTCGTTTATCTACTGAGAGCGAAATATGGATACAGTGAAAGGAGTAAAGGTATTTTATCCTTAGTAATTAGATGGTTAGTCATTCCTTACAACGTGAGTTTAGATTTATCTCATAAAGTCGTGTCCGCCTCTCATTTCAACCAGAGACAAGTGAAAACCCGTACCTTTCATCATTTATATATTATTACCATGATAATGTTGGTGGGTAATACGAGGGAATAGATGAGAGCAGTTACAAGGCATCACAACACCAATATCTCACGTAAGATGATACCATCATTATATCCAGAATTATTTATGAGAGAAAATATTGTGAAATACAATATAAATCTAAATTCAATCTAATAGTGACTGCCGGAAGGAAGTCGTTGATCCAGGGAGGTCCCCCTATCAGTTGGACGCTGAGCAGCCGTATTGGTTCACTTGTTGTGGCCTACGTATACTACTGCCAGCTAATCTCTCTAATTATAAATTGCTAACAATACTATAAACAGGGAGAAAATATATGTTGTCTGTTTTCGTCGTTTTTCATGTTGTCTAATGCATGCTTTATGTTCGTAAAAGGGCTCATGATCAGTTAGGTGACTGGCCTTTGGAATTCAACACAGGATAATAAATTTAACAGAACCTAAGTTCAATAATATGCAGGATGGTCTAATATGCTTTGTTATCCAGGGGACGCCCAAAACGATGGTAATCCAACCTGAGATATGGATAATCATACATAATGCACAGTGCACATTTCGCCGGGAAATTTCCACTCTCTTACTTTACCTCTTATCCCTCTGGTTTCCACCTTCAAACTACTACATCTTTCCTTCTTCACAATTTAGTGTCCCATAGGAACCACTTAATCTGTTAGTACTCTGGAAATTATTGGCTCAACCATCATAGATTTCTGACTTGGCCCTCTGCTGTATCATACATTTTGCTTGAGATATCATATTTTGTGTGGCAAGGAATCTACACACTCTGCAACTTTTGTGTGTTGGTGAGGCATAGACACATGGTTGGCTGGTGTTGGCTCTGGGTAAGTATGCTTAAGATATTTCAAACAACTTGTATAGTTTGAATAATAACTATGTGGTATAGTGTTTCCCAAATGCTCTCCAAGTGTTTGCAGCGACTTTCAAATGAATTGATCAATGACCAACGTACATCATTAACAGCGAGCGGGTACGGGAATGACCAGAGACCTGGGGTCCAGCTGGGTGCTGTCACCACCCCTGGCGGGTGCTCAATGCCCTTCCTGCCTGTCGGCGACCAGTGCCTCTACTTCGCCACATTCGCAGAGGTGACCTTCACAGAAGCTAGACAGATGTGTCACTCGCTGGACGAGGAGCTGGCGGCCGTCCTCACAGCCACCCGCCTGAAGAACATCATCGACTACATTAATGACAACGGTGAGCAGCCTTAACACCTTCATGTACTGACTTATTTTATGGTGACTGAAAGTAACAAAGCATCTCAGGCAGTCTAGCATGTCCCTGAGGACCAGAGGAGGCGCCCCACATTGAGACTGGAGCGAGGACTCATGCCGCCATTCTCGGTTGATTTCGTTTTTTGTGTTGGGGCCCAATAGCAGATTCATGTTAAGTCTTTCAATTTCATCTGTAAGTGTATTATATGGGGTGTGTGGTTTGTGAGTGTCGCCTTTGTTGTTGCTGTGACCAAGGGAGCACAAAGAGGGGATAATTTTAGGGCTGTCTTCTCCGTGCTAGAACATTAAATAGTGCGGAATAACAAGAAATTTTGAATGTAAAACGAATTAGGAGAACTTACACCACAAGGCACGTTGTGTGGTGGTGAGGGAAGGATTATATTATGACCTACCTGTTCCTGCTGGAGATAAGATGTTGGAAACATATCTCTAGTGGCGTGTGAGGGTCTGCATGGTGTAGGGTGCTGGAGTGGTAGTCTGCCAGTAACTGTGTATACCTGGCAGACACTGTCGCTTGGCTGACCGAGGGGGTTAATTCCTGGAAAACAGTCACTGACACATGACGATGCGTCACATATGCCCTAGTAAGTCATATACTTGTGTCAATTAAAATATAATAAAGAATGCAGTTTAATACATGTCAATAAACATTTACTAGTGTAAAATGTGTTCCTCCACAGGTCTGAGTGTACTTACCTATTAGTGTCTTCCTGGAAGTGAGGTCTAGGTCTTTATGCCTCGTCTACTAGCCTTGTACCTACTTCATTTCTATTTAACTACTCCAACTTTCAAATTTTTGTCGAATCGGGCCGTAAAGTTGCGGATGGATGTGGCTTCCACAACTTTCTCTGTCTGAACATATTCCACTACCCAACAAGGTACGAGTATTTTCTTACGTCCCTTCGGCTTCGCTTTCGCTTTGATGTCCAAAGAGCTTGGAAAGGATGTGGGAGGAAGAAGGATGGGGCGATGAAATTCTTGGAAGAGGATTTGGATGTGGAGAGAGGAGGCTTGAAAGTTCGGTGGCCCGTCCACCGTGGATTGGAGATGTTTTTTCAGTCAAAGCCTGTAGCTTAAGTTCTTCTTAGGCGGTAGGAGGCTAGTGGTGGGGCAGGGTGATGTCGTCCTGGTTCACTTGAGGTGGTCTGTCTGGCTTGGAGGAGGCGTCTTCCTCATTGAGGTGGTGAGAGGTAAGTTCACTGTTGCTTGTTGGTGTCTTGGCCACGAGGTATTCGCATGTACTTCCCAAATGACAGCGATGGTATTGGTGTTCCTGTCGGGTCTTCATCTTCTTCCAGGAAGGTCACTTGTCCCCTCTTGAAATCGAATTTAGGGTCTATGTATTCACTCTCCAGAGCGCAGAGGTCAACATATAGTTCCAGGGTCTCGTGGTGGACAAACACAGGGTAAGGAAAGCAGGTCTTGAGCTGGTTGATGATCCTGTTGCATTCTAAGGCAATGACTATTCTTGTGCTTCGATTGCCGTTGAAAGTGCCACCGTGATTGAGGTAAAGTCCATAGTAGGGCTTTTTCTTGCTTGATTTGCTTGGGTTTAGGTCGAAGTCTGGGGCCTCATATGTGACGGCCTCAGTAGTGTCAGATGGACGCAATGGTGATTCTAGGAACTCTGGTGCTGGTTCTGGTTCTGAATCTGGTTCTGATTCCACTTGCCGACGTTTTGCTTTCCTTTTCGTCCGTCGCCCCCGGCTGGTGGGGGCAGGTGATGAGGTTGACTGGTCTGCTGTGGAGGTGGTCTGGGTGGATGCTGTTGCCTGGGTGACTTGTGCTGGGTTCGACTCCGGTGGTGGTGGTAGCAGTATGACTGCAGTTACTGTTGGTGTTGGAATTTCGTCTGTTTGGGTTGAAGCAGCGTTGTGATGTTGAAATAGGTCTGCTGGTATCAACATTGTGGGCAGGTTGTTCTAGGCGAACAGCCTGTTCAGTACTCTCACGTATTTTGCGTTGTCTGTTCCCGCCTCTCTCTCAGCTACACTGATCAGGCATGGGATGAGAGTGGTGTTGGTCGAGGCCGCTGATTGGTTGACAGTCAAGTTGGTTGGCTGAGCTGCAGTCGCCTGTGTCCTGGGTCCCCATTGGGGGGTGGTCTGGCCTGGTGTGGACGTCTGTGTAGCAGAAGCAGAAGCGTTGGGAAGCACTGGAAACGATGTAGCTTGGATATTGAAGCTCGCCGGCTGATTGGTTGTTGGGTTGGCAGTTACTGTTTTATTTATTTCATCTAGTCGTACTTGGCAGTCCATGGAGACGGCGATGATCCTGGGTACAAATGCTGCATTTAACCTCTGCTTGTTGGCAGTTCTTGGTATCATGATCGTACTTGTAACACTTAAAGCACTGGAGAATGTTGTAGTAACGTTCCTTCTTTACAGTGTCAGGTGTGATGGAAATATCCAGACATCTATATCCATTTTCCACAGCTTGGGTCGCTGCAGCAGCTGTTGTGAAGGTGACCTTGAGAGTAGGCCTAGGGTTGTCGTCGTTCTTGATGACCTTGACTGTAGCAGCAGTCAGAGCCGGGTTTCTGGTGTTGATACTATCAAGTATGGTGCCAGGGTCCTGGGTGGCGATGTAGACACTCGTGTGGCTGACGAAGATGGTTCGTTCAGCCAAGTAGCGACGGTTAGTAGTGATGATCAGGAGTTTCGTAGGGCGTCCTGGTGTTCTGGTGCAAACAGTTGCTCCAGAGCTTGCTCGCTTGAATAGAGAAGTACAGCGCCGTTAGCATCGTCACGGATGTCCAACGGGGCTGCATTCGTGATGTCGACGATTTTCCTTAGTAATTGGGGCCCGGTGTAGGTGGTTTCGTCACGAAACCGGACCTTTATGCGGTAAATCATGGCTCTAATCGTTGCTGCCCAATGTTTACCCACCCGGCAGTGCTGGGTGCAGGAGAGCCTGATCTAGGTTTTCGGTCCTTTTATCGGTTTTATCTTTTTATCTTTTTATGTCCCTTCGGCTCATTTGCACTTCTATCATGCACTTGTGTCCTCTTGTTCTGCTTTCTCTCAGTCTAAAGAAGTTATCCTTGTCCACTTTGTCTATTCCCCTCAGTATCTTGTAAGCAGTGATCATATTTGTCCTGTTCATTCTATCCTCTAGGGTTGTGAGATAAGAGGTTGTGTATCTCATATTGTGGGGTTGTGAGATGTGTGTGTAGCATACTCTAATGAGTATGTGGTCATTAAACTACATTCATAGCTTAGCCCTCTCAGCTCTGGCATGAATCTTAATGCAAACCTCTGTAATATTTCAATTTTGGCTTTACGTTTTGCAAGGTATGGATTCCATACAGGTGATGAGTATTCCAATAATGGTCGAACAAATGTTGTATAGATTGCTTTGAAAGAGGTCTGATTCAGGTTCCAACACATGCCAATAACATGTTCTTATATTTGCCAGCGTCCCATGTGCTGATCTCTTCCTGTCTAACTTATGCCATGTGCATTTCATGACTTGGGTCGTTTTTACAATCTCTGACACTGCTTCCTTAATTATCTTCTTTCCCTCTGAACACTTTGCTGCCGCAGCAAAGGTTTTATCTGGTCTTATTCCTCAAATCGTGGCTATATTCCTTATCTGGTAACTATATTACAAGATAAAGAATAAATATATTTAAATATATATTTGTATATATTGTGGGAACCGACCTGTGAGATATATATTTATTTACTTTATATGAATTTATATAGAATCAATATATACATTAATTTATATATTTCGATAGCAATTTGTATGATGTTCAGCGGACTGTATTTCTGCAATATTCTCACAACTCAATTCCTACACATTAGGGGGTTTATATTAAATTTATATATATGTAGCCAATCAAACAACAGTATTAAACTACATATATTATTAAATAAATTGAGGTGCCTTATCTTATCATATGGTAGACTTAGTCCACCAGGTAAAAACAAAGGATCTTGAGGTTATCTTGAGATGATTTCGGGGCTTTTTAGTGTCCCCGCGGCCCGGTCCTCGACCAGGCCTCCACCCCCAGGAAGCAGCCCGTGACAGCTGGCTAACACCCAGGTACCTATTTTACTGCTAGGTAACAGGAGCATAGGGTGAAAGAAACTCTGCCCATTGTTTCTCGCCGGCGCCCGGGATCGAACCCGGGACCACAGGATCACAAGTCCAGTGTGCTGTCCACTTAGCCGACCGGCTCCCTCCAGGCTGATGACACCAAAGAATCCTCGTGCGAGGCTAGCTTCCAACATCCAAGTAACTGATGTATCAAGATTAATTCTTGTTTCCTCTTCTATTATTCCTGTCAAAGGCAACTAGCTGTAAAGCCGTAATCCTATATATGACAGCTATATCAGATGAAACATTTGTTATATTATTAGATAAGGACCAAGGATTAATTACCTGCATTGAGCCATTGCCTCGTATTCTAACCAGAATTAACAAAATTTACCTAACATTACTGGCCAATAATGACTAAATAGGATTTCGGAAAGACACTTCCCTTGTTTAGACGGTGACTGCGTTTTGATGATGGTAGAAGCACTAATTTGATCTCCATAACACTTCGTCCAAGGGAACTTATAGGAGCTGAATTTGCTCCAACGACTCGGTCTTTCACAATGGCTGACCTCCCTCACCACTGACGCTTGGCTCTCCTTGTCCAGATGTCAATAAGTGATAGAAGGGTCACATTTATTATATTTTGATACTGATAATTAAGTTAATTAATTCAAATGAGATGTTTTTATGATGTTAAAAGTCCAAAAGACTGCTGTATTAACAATAATTCCCAACAGAAAAGCTGGTGAATTTATAGCACTATGTGGTAATGATATCTCGTTTTCTATTGATGGAAACTTCCAATGTGCCACATTTTCTATTGGTTAACTTGTGTATACAACAGCAACAATATTATCAGTCTATTGTTATTAATATTAGTAAATGGTGGTGGGTTTTCCAACATATATTATCCAC